TAAGATTTTTAGTTATTAATAATTTAAATTATATTTAAAGCTTAATTTTTAAATATTTTTATTAATAATTTTTTAAGCTATATAAGGCTTTTTATTAGGGAAGTATTAGCTTTTTAAATAAAAGAATTTATTTTAAGTTTAAAATCTTAACCTTAAGATTAATTTTTCTAGTAAGCTTATAGCTAGTATTATTTGGCATCGGATATCTCTCATCGGGTAACCGAGAATTCTTGCAAGTAAATTTAGTCCCGCCGAATAGCTCATAACCCAAGGAAATTTTAATACCAAGTTAAAGGTAGTAGAATCTTATTACAGAAACGATCCGTGCCAAAGAAGAACTCGGCTCCCTGTGACGAGTATCGTTGACGTATCCGACGCGTAAATAAAGTAGATCCAAAAATTCCTTCTTGTCAAAGGCACTTATTGACACATACTGCACGAATTTGATTCGAAATCTTCCAAACCATGTATTTCTCTCCCGTACACGCTTAGGCTTCAAAACTCAGACTATGGGAGCGCCATATCCCCCTTTTAGCCACATAGTCTCAGTCATCATATATGATGCCCGAGCCCTCGGTGACAGCACTGTTGATCTGGCTATCTACAGTTAAACTGGTATCTGAAGTCGCCACCAAGACAGTCAAAGCAGACTTGAAGTCAGTCCTTCCCAGCAGCAACTGGCCATCTAGCTCATTGTTTGCCGCAACAAGAACCGTCTTTTCCTTCTCAGTGAGCTCATCTAGAACAATGAACAAGTTGTAATTCATCTCTGATCCACCCGGGAAGCGACTGCGCACAATAGCGTCGCATTCAACGGCGGAGGCTCCAAATAGGACGGATGGCACTTCAGGCGCTGAATCTAGGTGCGTGTCTGCTTTGCCCGAGTGAAATGGTGCTTCGCTGATGGAAGTAACAAAGGCCATGGAGGGTCCTGCAATGTCTTCATCGCCCCAGTCCTGGTCATAAGTCTCTTTGAGGAATTGGTTTAGAGTCTAAGGAATTGTCCCAGTCAGCTAGAGAGCGGCGGTGATGAATATGCCAACAACTCACCTCGAGGCTGATCTCTGCGGTTTGGAAGATGGGGAAGTAGGGAATGTCCGTGTCTGGGTTTTCTGGCCCGCTACCTTCGTCCCAGTTTTCATGGGGAGGGTAGTCGCCGACATCTATACGCTTGGGTCTGGATCGAAACTTATCCACCCGTTGCTTGCTCCAAACTCCGCCAACCATTGCGGCTTCATTTCGCAGGTCGCGTATAACTTTTGTGAGCTGATTTTCTGAAGCTGCTTCGATGGCTGCGAGGCCGTGGGTGGCGGATGCCAGTTCACACCGGAAAGCAATTTGGATTTCATTACTCTGCTCGTCTTCTCGTCCATCTACTGCGATTTGGCAAGTTTCCCCATCTTCCGCTGTCGTCTCGTCAAGAATGACGAACGATTTATGACTCATGTCGCCATGTTGTCTCGACTTGGCTGCGTCCATAAATTCACCGAGTAAATCGTAGGCATCTGGGAGATCTGCGGTGAATGGAGTTTGGAACGAGTCAATCTTATCGTCATCTCGGTTTGATATCAGCTCTGATAGATCCCTTTTGGCTACCAGTACGAGTCCATCGTGGGAGAGGAGGTCCCTCAAGACCTGGTAACGGTTAGACTCAGACTGAACTTGAGGTGCTCGGTGCGACAAACTTGGGAATCGATGTCTGCAGTGCAGACAATCGGGAACTTGACGTCTTGCGAGGACTGGCTGCGCAATGTAACACCCATGATCAAGGAAGTACGAGAAAAGATTGTCCGTGTGATTACTTTTCCAATAGAATCGGATCGGTATTGGATGGCGATTTCGTTTGTTGGATGATGTTTCGCTGAGTTGCGTTGGCTGACTTGACATTTGTTGTTGTACGAGCCGCAGAGCGGAAAGCGGCGGCGCAAAGACCATTATTATACACTGTGCACAGTGGACCATTGATTATGTTGCATTTATGATTTATGCAGGACAAATACACCACGTCATACGCCTTTGTTCATCTTGAATAAATGTGGAGAAGCATGTCTGCTGAAAGTCGCGAGCGACATGATGACAATCTTGTTGCACAACCAGCCCCCAAATGGCTGCACCCAACATGGGACACACTGTCTCCTTCGTTCCTGGGTCTCGGTCAGAACAAAGGATTTAGATCGACCTGCAACTGGGGTAACTAAATGGTTGGTTGCGCTGCCACCGGCGTCTCACTTGTGACGTGTGTCACGGCTGAAGCTGAAGCTGACTGTGCTGTAAGCATTGATGTGGCACCATGATCGAGATCGTCAAATAAAAATAATTGCTCATTGTTGACACATCAATGGAGGTGGTTTTCGACCCTTGCATACTTGTAGTCCGTCATCATTTCTGTTCATTGGGGGCCGAATGGAAATCAAGCATGAGTAGTAGATCGAGAACGAACGTTCAACTTACTTCAAGGCCAGCATTCGAGTTTGTCCGCCTTCAGTCTACTGAACCTACCTACATCCGGTCGTCGTACTTGAAATTGAAGTATATGAGCTTTGGAGAAGCATCAAAGAAGTAATAGTCACGCACTGGATTTATAAACCCACAAAACGAATATGCGCAATTAGTCCCCTTATGTTCCATTGGCATATGACAGCTATTGCTGATTTTATCTTGATAACGGAAGTTCAATTCAAAAATGAGGTTGCGCTACACCAAAGAAGAAAATTGCACCCAGCTAAGTGTTTTCAGCTCAAAGAAGGTGATGAAAAACGAACCACCCGTTGCTTGCCATTTCGACTGGCCTGATAATCTTGTCTGGCCATTCTAAGAACCTGTATCAAAACAGGTTCTGGTAGAGTTCATTGTCTATTCATCATCCTCAATCTCGAGGTCATCCTCTCCATCAACATCTCGAGCCTCCACCTCACCATCATCCTCGTCAAAGTCCTCCGGAAGTTCAACATCGTCAGGAATATCACGGCTTGAGACCCGAGCGCTATCACCATCTTCAGAATATGACCCAATGTCACGAACAACCTTGGGGCTGGCAGCCAATGTCCAAGGGCCATTAGGGCCGCCAGACACAAACTGGTGACCATCGTTCCGGCACTTGGGCTTTGGACCACACCAATCTTCGGAGAGCTTGCTGATCTTGTCCCACTTTGTGTTCCATTGCTCCCCGTTCTTACTAGTAGCAATACCTCTAACCTTGCGTCCTTGCCCTGGAACACCGCATTAGCTTCACACTTGCGTAGATGGTGAGAGGGATGACAGGTTCTCACTTTGCTGCTCTTTACCAGGCACGCATCGAAGAGCAACCTTCTTGGCGAAGTCACTTTGACCTCCCTCCTTGGAGGATGCATAAGGATACTCGTCAGGGGAGTTGCCTCCCTTCCAAGCCCAACCCTTCTTCTTGCAAGGGTCCTTGTCGTAACCCCATTTCTTGCGGTTATCATCACCGTACTTTTTGGCATTAGCCTTGGTTTGACCTCCGCCGTGAAGGGTTGCAGAGTTCCCTTGACATTTGATTGCCCAGCAAGTATTAAGACAGATTTGCGGTGTCTTTTCACAATCGTAAACTACGCCTTTAGCGGCGGCTGAGCCGACAAGGAGAATAACTGCTGCAGCGAAAGAGACGTGCATTGTGAATATAGGCAGATTTCGAATGAGCAAAAACTTGTAATGGCTTGGGTTGAGTGTCTGGATACGCAGACGGCAAGTTTCGGGGATTTTAGACGATTAAATACTTTTACGACTTTCAAGACAATAATGCACTTTAGCTACGAGATACCTTCCCTATAAGACAAGTCTTACTTGCATATCCTGAGTCAGAAAACAGCCAAGGCGCAAACATACCTCGATTATTCTTGTATAATCTGCAAGCGATGGCTGACTGAGCATTTACTAAGGGCTTGAAGCTGCGGTCTTTAGCCTATGAGGATATAATATTGGCCTGGATTCTCAAGCATGAATGCGATGGGATTGAAAGGAATCTCTTGAATCCTTTTCTGGTTACACTTGGGGGCGAGCTGCTAGTCCAGGTAGTGCAAGATCGAAGATGTATTGACACCATCGATGAGTTGCACGCATCTACAGCACTGACGTATTAGGTCTGAAACTTAATTATTAGGTGGTCTTATGCTCTTTTACAGAAAAATTAATTTTTTCATCAAAGACGGTATTAGGAGTTATCGCGAATCAACATTTTACCCTTCAAAAACCAGATATTCCTGACGCCGAAAAATCGCTCATCCTCGATGCGGTCACCATTCGTAACACGAAACTGATCACGCAGTCCCGCATTGTAAATCTCACATGCATTAGTGGCTATGCATGTAAGCTGCATAACCTGTAAGACCCTATTTTCAGATTAGTTCATGAGGTTGACTGATCTAGAGAAATCATGCAGAGGGGGGAATATTTAGACCAACTGCAACAACGGTTCTAATATGATCAAGTACATCATATGCTGGTGCCATATTGTAATGGCCAATACGGTAGCATCAGTAAGCCTCGTAGCTCAAAACAAAGTCAGCATTGCCATGACTGAGTGCCAGCATCACATAGGCACATGATTATTAGCGGTTCATCGCTCCCGCCCAGGTACAGCGTTCTGGCCCCCGAATCCCACAGTCAGTGACGATCACAGGATCGAGTCGAATTCCCAACTGAGGAGACTATTATGGCATGTTTGTTTTGCTGAAACACTATGGATATTAAAATTCAAGGGTCATGACACGATTGACAAATAACTTCCAAATACGGCGATGATTTACTTTCCTCCAGCAGAGCTTGTCAGCCTTGTCTTTTAAAAGCAGAAACGTCGTACCTCATGGAAAGTAGCCTAGCTGAGGAGCACTCAGC